ATTCCGGGAAGTTAGTGGCAACTGGGAAAGTGGTAACTAAACGAATGATTCCTACGCATGTTTTGATACCACCAAGTCTAGAAATTCCAGGCCACTCCTATCAACCCTGCGATTTTCCTTGTTCGGACGAAAATCGAGTTCAACTTGAATGATCACAGGGATGGAAAATTAGAATCGTATTTCTCAGCAGTGAAACCAAAGGCACATAACAGTCCTATGAGCCCCTTGGATCGGCCGGTTTGACAAAGTGAGACGAATGAAGGTTTTCATGAAGGAAACTACTCACAAAGTTGCTGAAAACTCTTCGACAGCCCACGACCGGTTTCGTCCTTCTTGGGGCTCATCAGGTAGGCGCAGCCCCCGAGTTTCCATCAACTTTATGTTCTACTTGAACTCAAATTGCACTGTTTCCGAGTATTACACTCATTTACAAATCAATTTGGTTTTCGCGAAAGGCGCAGCTGGATCTATGGCTTATGATATGATGAAAGTTAGTCAGTTGGGTGACAACTTTGCCCTAAATATCCGGTACAATTCCAAGCCCAGGTCCTAGTCCAGAGTTATGACCAACTAGGTGAAACTGGTTTTTGAATAAGTCAACATTTGATCGGGCCAAGAGTTGCACCTCAACTACATTTTTAGATTTCCGTCAGCTTTACGGAGAACTAACGAAAACGACTTCCAACCAGCTCGTCTGAAGAATGATGCGGTGGTGAAAACTTTGCATGATTATCCACAGGAATTTTCACAGCAATTCAGTTTGTTGCATATGGGGGTTTTGCGGGAAGTGTACTGTTCAGTTTCACATCACCCGTTTTTGAACATTCGTCCTCCTGTCCTGGCACATGAATCCACACCAAAGGGGGAAGCACTAGACTCGAGTTTTGCTCTTGTTAGTGCTCATCAGCAGTGCTTATCCAGTGGCCGTGCCGGGGTTTGAATTCCGGACACCTGGCATGCGGGACGAGCGTGTTATGACTATTCCACCAGCGCACATTGGAGGCATCCGAATTCTCACGTCTGAACGGGCAAATGTGTTCGCACTTGAACGATGTGATTAGTATGCCCGACACATCACCGATACGGCGACCCATTAACTGTCCTGGTTGTGATGATCGATTGGCCCGCTCGTCAGGACTTCCCAGTCAGGTAGCGCCACAGACGCTTGAAACCGGCTGGACAACTTTTGTTGATGCGCGTGGGGGGTTGCGGTTCAAAAACGAGAGTGATGTGAAACTGAACAATTCAGTTTGTCTTTTCTGACCACTGGTATCACCAAACACAACGTCAAAATTTATTATCCGTTTTGACAATTGACCATGGAAACTGCTCAATGGAACGATGAAATTGAGGTTATTGTTTGTGTCTGTTTGACCATGCTTGACCCCCCCTATCGGTTAGTCCCACCAACCGAGCGTTGGTCACTTGGCTTCACACTTCGGATCATGTGCGTTGATCTGATTGATGGACCAACCAGATAGGTAGTTTGGTGTGTACCGTCAGCGCATAGTCCTTTCGTTCTTTCATATCCTAAATTCTATGATCCTGATATATGTTACGTGTTAGAGATGGGGTTCCATTCTTATTTATAAGTACATGAACATAGTCGTATGAGAAACTGATTATTTACGTGCAATCAGACTCTTTCTTTTTGCTGTAAAAGTAGGTGCGCTAGTTGTGGAATAATTAAATGGTACATCTTCTGATTATAATCTGAATTTTGAGACAGCGGACTGCTTGTGGCTTTAGTAGCTCGTAAACCACAAATTCATCTATGCCAGAAGAATAAGTTGGTGACTATAAGAACAGGGGTATCAGCGGCGGAAACAATCGGGGACAGAAATATGCGGGACGGAAATGACCGAGCGATTGAAATAACAGATACCCAGTGTTCAGCACCTCTGTCATGTTCGGTCGAAGAAAACCTACACATTGATAAACCTTGATGATAGTCTGAGTTACATGTGCAAGGCTCAATGAGGCCTTCAAAGACTGGTTAGAAAATCGACCTTTTGCTGGTTAGCCCTGGTTGCTTAATATTTCTTCGTGAGTGGGATTTTGCTTATCCCGCGCTTGCATACTACCCATGTTGATCGGTATTTCCAGCCATAATAAACACGCTAGAAAACTTCTGGGTCGATTCCTCATTAGTTAATCCTTTCTGCTTGGTTACTTGTGGCTGTCTATTATAAGTAGACAAAAAGGCGAAACACGTAGTAAGAAAGGCATCTACACTGATCTAGTCATGGAGAATATAATTAGCTAATTTTTTAAGGTATTGACGAAATACACTACTGACGAGGTTGCTGGCAGCTCTTCCACAGACTAAGACCGGCTTCGCCCTTCTTGGGGCTCGTCAACTAGGCGCAGTCCTGAAATTTCCGTCAGCCCTACGCACTAATTTCACCCAAATTGCACGAAATTAGCGAAATACAGTCATTTGCATACCGATTCGGTTTCGACGGGAGACCCGCCTGCAACCCAGCCAGATGTCTCGTTTACGATGATTTTAATCGTGGACTGTCGAATGGTTTTCAGCAACCAAAGGGTTACTATAAACTCTGCATCGTAATGGAAGTCCTTGAGGACAGTAACCATGAGACTAGTGAGTTTATTGTACAACGTCCCTCAATTCGTGTTAGTAGTGAGTGTTCCGCATTTAAAACACATGAAAATGAGTGGGGTCCTTAGCAGACTAAAAGGCACATAGAATGAAAGGAAATGGAAATCAGTGGTGATAAAACGTGCGAACTGAACAGTCAAAATATCTGGGCTTGCTGTTCGAACAGTAAGGAAACAGATGAGAGAACATCGTATTCTAATTCTGAACGAAAGTTCGTCGTGGTATTGTTTGTTTCAAATGACTTTATTCCCATTTAGACGTTATTCGAAGAGCCGTGAAAATTTATGAGCAGTTTGCTTTAGTGTATTTTTCTTGGCACATTATTTGGACAGTGTTCAGCGATGGTTTCCCAAGTCAGACTTTGCCTAGTTATTCCCATTAACTGAGATACCTATTGGACTGGGTACACCGATTGCCACACAAGCAGATCATACTATTACAAGCTTACGTCGGTTAGGAACGCTCGGTTGGTTAATACGAGTAACAAAAGCGGTTTCGGCGTGGTTGGATGGGTTGTTAACTGTAAACCTATAAATCCAATAGAAATAGGAGGGATTAATAACGATGGGCACTGGCACCGCATTAATAATAAGGCACTGATATCATCCGTCAATTCCTTCACGTTCCAATATAATGCTGCAACTCTAATAACAACCGCGGTCGATGGCACTCGGTGTTTTCCGCGACTGAAGCACCAGATGCACAACCAGTTACACCTTTCCCAATCACCTCGTTACGAATTCATTGACACCATCCGACACCCGCGAAGATTCTGAGGCGTCAGGGGTCAAAAATCTGAAAACGCTTCACATAATCTGTCCGTAAAGGTCATATCTCGCAACCATTCAATAGTATAGCCCTTGTTGTAGCTTGGAATACGCTACCCTTGAGACACAGTGATAAGATTGTGGTGTGGGAAGGCTGGGATCTACGCATCAGTAAAACAGAAAGATTGTTATCGGACTGACTGCAACACGCCCTTTTATCCGTATAGGATCTCACTGCTTAAAGCAAACGGGAACAGACTTGTTTTGAGGTGCCCACGGATGTCTTAATTGCGTATCCACCATTAACGGCAGAAAGTTCATCATCGACAGTACAACATCAGTGTTTAACACTGTCTCTTCGCTCTGTACGATCACAATCTATCTGATAACCTTATTGTAAATAAAACAGTAGAAGTGGGTTGGAAAGGGATTTAGTGCTGACCTACCGCAATCATTCCGACGTGTATACACCTCCAGACACCCCTTGGGGCAATCTGGATAGGGAATGACAAGAACANTGACAAGAACACAATTAATATCGATCAGTAACCACGCATAAGGAGGATCACACTGACCCCATCCTAGGTGGCAGTTCACACCGAAATCACCCAGACGTTTTGTAATCGGCTTCATATCCTTTTGCCAGATCAACCGTTGGTCACCTATTGCTTGCGCTCACGGAAAACTGCACTTTCGACGAAGAGTGGTTCGGCATGCGTAATACATGGCTACACCATCACAGCTGGACACACTCTTCGATTGAAGTTGCGGGGTGACAGGAATGAAAAAAAAATGGGAAAGAATATCAAGTAGACATCACCTGAACGTCATACACACCGGACAAACTTTCAGCGTGCCAGCATTTGGTGTCCTTGAAAGGTGGCTCTGTTCCTCCTTTTCAATTTGTTTCGAATCGACAACCACGCACATACAGGAGCACTGAACGTCTAGTACATTTGCTGTAACGAAACAAGGTGTTCAGTCCTTCAAAAGCTATTTTAAACAGCCGAATACATCTGTCGAAATGGCGTTTCACCGGTACCCAGCTAGTGTCCTATCCCACGAACAAACTGCCCCTGTCCGTGGGTCACTTTGGTATCCCTGGGAAGTATTTTCGTAAAGAGGGTATGTAGCACTGCATACTCCTTAAGTTCAACTTGTTCACACTGCGACATTTATGATTCCAGCTGGACGAATTTACTTTTGAATCCCAGAAAAAAGATTATTCTTCCAACCAGACAACCTGCAGTATGCAAAGAATGACGAATTTATCCCGTCAATTGAATTGAGTACTCCATTCCCATTAAAGTAATGCGCGTTTTTCAACAAAGAGTGCCAAGTAAAAACTACTCAAAAGTCAACAAAGTCGTACATTTAAAAGCGGTCGATGGCAACTTGGAAAATCCTATCAAATATTCGGTTCTATGGAAGTTTTCGGTAAAAAACTATATCCATATGGATCTAAACTGGTTGATCTGTTAGCCATAACGGGTGTGAGAAATGTGGCACTGCTATCCAGTTGCGAGAATTCCTTCAAAAGAGACTGTCCTTCCAATGCACAACTGATGGAAACATACTTGAGGGGAGGCACAGTGGGTTCAATTAACCCTCTAGTTATCAGGTAGATTTTCTCCGCTAGTATCTCTAAGGAACATGAGTGAACAAAGCACAAGGAGAAGTACCCCGGAGTAGATCAACAGTGGGCAGCCGTGCACGACTTGTTGATCAAGAGCATTGACAAAACTACATACAATACCACCAACTTTGGACAGACCCATTATTAATCCGAAACCTTGCGTTCGAATCTCCGATGAAAAAAGTTCAGGTACGTAGAGAATTCCCATGTTGAGTGATGCCTGAAGAAGAACTAGGCAGATATTTGAGGAAACGATCAATACGGTGTCCGTGGATGGTTTGAAGATTATGGTGTAGAGGCCAGTTGCAAGTAATATGATACATGCCAAACTAACCAAAGTTGCAAGAGGACGTTTCCGGTTCCGAAAGAAGCGATACAGTAGCGAAAACAGGACTATGCCAGGCACACCCGTGAGCGCATTGAGAAATCCCACGATGTAGACATAGTGACGCACCGCTCGAGCATAAAATAAAAGGCCAATGAACGACATTGTCACCCCCAACATAATGATTATGGAGAGCATGGTGGTCTTGAATAGTTTCCGTGAGTACAACGGTTTTATTAAGGAGCAGTGACAACTGAGTCCCATTGTTTTGCTCTCTTCGTTCGCTTGAGATAGTTCCAGTTTCTTTGCTTCATTTGCAAGTTGGGTGAATCGACCCAAATGGAGTTTAGGTTTGTTCAAATGGTTGATTCGGTAGCCAGATTTAAAGACAGCGATTCCTTCGGAGTAACGCTTCTGGGAGAACAACCACCTTGGGGATTCGGGTAGCAGACAAAAGTACAACACACTCAGCATATTAGGAGCCGTCACAGCCACATTGAGCCATCGCCAATCGGGTATCCAATATGCCCATAAGGCCATCAAAGAACGATAGATGAATGCTAATCCCAAGGATAAAATTGCTCTGAAAATAGACCGGTATCGGGCCAAAGTCAGCTCGATCATCAAAATACCTGTCACATTGCTTTTAGCTACCATTCCCACTGCCATAAATCCTCTGGCTAGCACATAGCTCAAATAACTGGGCGATAACGAGGTCCAAATACCAGATAGAAACTCGATTAGGGAGACGAGAATCAGGGTTTTCTTCCGTCCGAAGCGACCACCACTCCATCCTCCGAGAAGATTGCCCATGGCTGCACCAAACATGTAAATAGAAGTACCTAGAGGTACCAACCATGCTCGGTCACAGACTGTTTCGAATTCACTCACTACATTACCGGGGTAGAAATGTGGATTGCTATCGTGGACGTATCCCAGAGGACACGGTTCGAGCTCAGTAGCATTGTCCACTTGAAACAGCTCCTCCCCACTTAAGCTACCCCAGTTCACTCGATATCGATAACAGCCGCTCTGGACTGTGTCACTCAGATCCGTATATTTCCACGGCCCTATCAATGAAGCCACTTGGTCGAAGGACATGTTGCGTTCTTTTAATAGGTATTCAACAGATGGTTCCATTCGGCAGCGATGAGGAGAAGCTGAGTTGGCATAAACTGGAAAGGTCATCAATGAGCTGCAACTGAACGTCAACAAAAACACAATAGACCATTGCCATAAACCACACGGTTTTACCAATTCATTCAGTATATCATCAGCATTCAGTGTCGTTCCTGCAGTAGACTCAGCTCCCGAGTTGGTTCCCTCAATCATAGGAATAGACATAGCAGAGGCTTTCTCCTCCATGTTAACAGTTCCAGGCAAGAGTACCGTCTGACCGCAAATGCATGCTATATTACTGACGGTCTAGACACCGCTTTAGCATTTCATTGGGCGACGACTGGGATAAATGACCTTGGATTCAAAGAAGCTTTCTCCTCCATGTTAACAGTTTCAGGCAAGAGTACCGTCTGACCGCAAGTGCATGCTATATTGCTGACGCTCTAGACACCGCTTTAGCATTTCATTGGTCGACGACTGGGATAAATGACCTTGGATTCATGCACCGCAAGTCACCGACCAATCACCTGGGTGCGTGGGTCGCAGCTATCACGTGCTAGCCGCGATCTTAACATCTCCGGTCCCTTGGCTGATGCACTGTCTTACTGCGACAACCTCCATTGAACATTACAACTAGCCGACAGTTCAGCTGATACCAATGGACCTAAATGGTAACTTAATCAACTGGGTCCGCATACCGTGCATTGACAACTTTAAACAAGGGTGGTACCAAAGAACGGACATACTAAGTAGACAAATTAAGTGGTCCAGTAGCGTATTCTTTCCAATATGAGATGGAATACCCTTAACAATATACTTCAGAGGAGCGAATGTTCCGTGTACCCAAAACTTTTGGTAATTTCTATAGCCTTGGTGGCCTTTGGTGAAATCCGCTGATGAAACGGATGGTCGATTCCTTGTAAACATGATTTTTGAGTAGTGGCTGTCAGCTGCACACAGAGTCTTAGCACCCCAATCGAGTCAACACGCACTGAGCCAGCTTGGCGCACCCAACATCATTCCGACTGGAAGTAAATATCAGAATGATATCTATATACCTATTTCTAGCGCGATTAACAGTGTGTATATTGCACTATACGATCTCAAGTTTCTGCTCTGTTAAAGCCATCTCACTTTATCACACCTTCTTTATCAATTGAATGACGGTAGTGGCATAATAATGACGGGGGTGGTAGCGACATTAGACGTTTTTAGGTATTAAAAACCTCGAAGGAAAATCTTGATATCTTCGGAGTTTTTAATCATTCCCTTGGTAGTCGGCCTATTTGAAATTAACTCGTAGTACATGTGCTGGCTATAGAAGCAGTAAAGCTCGTAAATGAGCAGGGAAAAACAAGCAGTTTATTGGTTGACGAACATGGGGTCAAAGACGGAACGTAATTTCAGACACAGCAATCATGATATTTAGAGACGACAAGAAGGTGCGACTATACCGAGGCGTGCATCTTATGGGTAAGCAGAAGGGATGGGTCATCAACTGTTCAGCAACAGAACGGATATGCGGGTTTGTTGGAAGGTCAGATCATCCGTGAAGAATGTGGTTTGTCCAGATTCGGATAAAAATATGCATGTCAACTGGTCGTGTACAAGGGATCTCTGGGTTTCGTAGCTAGAGGGAATGAAGCAACAAGAGTTTGTGCCAAGGGAATAGTTTCTGATGATTTTGTTTGTCAAATGAAAACTCATGTCGCGAGTTGTCTTTGGTTCGGAAAGCCACGTCTGTCCTCTTTTTGAAGTTGCTGCTGAAAGCTCTCTACCAATCGTGAGAATATTCGTAATTGGACTGGGGTAGATAAAGTATGCTAAGGTTAAGCTGCAGTAATCCAGGGCAAATGTCCTGAGAAGATTATGCTGGTGATCATCCCCACCATAGAGGTTTAAGAGTCCCGTCATGGCTCCACCATCAGTAAGGGCGACAAGACTTAAAGTGGGTCTCAAACTCTTCCCTGTCAAGTGTGATATATCTGATAGGTCCATACAGTCTGACGAAGTTCAAAGGGGTCTGGATCGAAATAAGACAGCGGAATGGCTTTACCGGTGAAAGGAACAGCAGTTCTACTGTGAAGTAAAGAGTAAGTACAACAGAACCAGTGGAAAGTTTAGGAGAATGTCTACAGACTTTCTCACTAGGCCGTGCTTATCTTAATGGTGTGGAGCGGTTAGCTTAAGGAGGCATCGGATTTGGTTTAGTCTTTAGTTGTTGGCTTACTGTATGTGCCTTGCATTCGGTTGACAAATATTTCGTCACTATCCAATGAGACTTTGCCACCGTACACCAATCCAAATTCTCTTCTGTCTCCCGTCATTCAGTGAGAAATAGCATCAATGAAGCCTTCATTCAGTGAGAAATAGCATCAATGAAGCTGAGAAGTTTCTGCCACTACAACTGATGGCTGCTTTAGGAGATTAACTGATAATCATGAACGAAATTATGCGAGGCCTCAATTTTCCGGCCAATATGCTCTGATTAATTTATCTATTCTCTTTGAGCTTCAAAAAGAACCTTGTGGTGATAAATATTGGGAAATGTGGTGATAAAATGTTCACCTGACTTCGACCTTGTATATCAGGAACTAGCTAGTAGATAAAATTTCAATCGGGTGCAAAATGCAGCATTTGAAACCGAAATCGATAGTCTGAAGCCGTTGCTGTTCAAAGTGGAGACGAGAGTTGGAACATTTAAAGCATCATTGCCTCAGGCTGTACCCCATACTCAGACTGACTGTGACACAACGCACACGTTAGGTGTAGCGAAGGCAAATCTGCAGGGATACAGTTGGCATCAGGTCCTGTGGACTGCCGCCATCGCATTTCGGCTGAAAGGAACGATGTGAAGTGCTACACAATGTCTGTGATGTACAACCATGTGATCGCCATTTGGTTTCAGTCCACTTACCGCTATAGCGGTGGTGCTTATGGGAGCAAACGATGTAAAGACACAGCATCAATAATTCCTCTGCTAATCCCATTTCAAAAGTTAGTTCCATGGTTCATGACCCTAATCTTTGGTGTACATATCTGACACGAATCGGTCAAGCTTAAAATAATGGGTCTTTTCCAGATAAGTCCCGCCATGTTTTGCCAGCTCCAATTTAATATGCACACACAAATTTGACCTATTTTTGATGAAAACTATTCCTTATCCGTATCTAAGCTCATTGCGTGCAAAAATTTTGTCCGTTCGGACGTAAAACCTCAAATGAACTTTCTGACGCTTTCAGCTCTCGTTCGTGCTAAAGGGACGCTAATGAGTTTTTTCGCAAAGCCACAAAGTGATGCGTCAGCAACGCTTATGCAACAATGACCACCAAACGACATTTTCAATTGTTTCCGACGGGTGGAGCTGTAATGCTCGACAGTGTCGGCAAGAAATCGGTCTTCGAAAGGGAACTTGGCTGGAGCGGTCTAGGATGGAGTTTAGGACAGTAATTCTATTCATTTGTTGCTGGTGCAAAAATTTGGCGAAAATCAAATTCTTATTAATGGGGAATTATCTATTAGCTAAGCGATCGCTTTTGATTGGGAGAACTTTCTTCGCGAAGTTTGCGCCTGGCGGCTTTTGCAGACTCCAACAGTTATCGGCGGCCCAGGTCTTCACGTCGAGATCGATGAGACGCTAATATTTCACCGTAAAAACCACGCAGGGCTTGTCCTTTCCCAGCAGTGGATTTTCGGAGGGATCTACAGGAAACCAAAGAGGTGTTCGTGTATGCAGTGCCGGATCGAAGTGCGGCCGATTTCATGGACACAATTCAGATCTGCATCGTTCCTGGCTCAATCATCATCTCCGATGTGTGGGTATCATACCAAGGAATTGAAACGATGATTGACATGACTCACGAAACAGTTAATCAATCCGAAAAATTCGTGGATCCAACGACTGGAGCTGACACACGCCTACAAGATACAGAATAAACGTCAACGCGGTACACATGGATCTCTGGTGGACAGCTACTTGTGTGAGTCCGTTTGGAGGCAAAGATACAAAAAACGGACCTTTTCATGCAAATTATTAATGGCTTGTCCCAATTTCACCTTCTTCAATAAAAACTAAAAGTACAAATATCATATCCCTTTTTTTCTAATATTTTTTTGGGTGACGGGGGTTAATTTTCTGGCGGGGCTTATCTGGAAAAGATCCAAAATAACTTTAACAGAACTGTTAACGACTATTCTGTTGAAGATGACAAGGACGCGGTGATATTGGCTGTCTGCCGAATGTAGAGCACAACAATCGACATGGTAGAGTAAGTGACAAACAATCCCATGAAGATTGACCAATAAAACAACAGCATGGACTGATTGGCCTCACTGATACTCTGAAATAACTCTTCGCATGCAGCTTCCACAACGAATTCAATCCTCTGTTGTCCAATTCCACGCATTTCTCTCATTGCGGAGCATGCTGTCCTTCGACAACCCTGCGAAATAAACCGATACCTTGTAAAACAATGGAATGAGAATTCGCGTTCAGGTTGTACGGAACCAATGCTGCTATAGATCGTCCAATAGTTGAAGGGTTTTTGGGACGTGATACAAAGCAATTGGAATTCCTGCTGTACTGTACTGTACACCCAATATTGCTACATAATTGTTGAAGTGTTTTGTAGTCCAAATTGATGGCCGTTGGTAGTATGGCACTTGCACATATGGCCGCTGTTTCGGTCTTCAGGACCTCCCACCTACAGGCTTTACAATTCATTTCAGTTACGCGGACAAGTAACTTATTCTGGCCTGTGAGATCGAATTCCTCTATTAACTGATCCAACTCCTTGACCTCCTGATTTATTTTTCAAGTCAGTATCTAGACGGTTTAGCCAGCCTTTTCCGGTAGTTATTGCTGAACGCTACGATTCCTTCCAGTGTTATGGCTGATGTGTTTGTAAATTGTCCACCTATCACCTTGGTTTTTGTTTATTTCTAATATTGGCATGTCCGGCTGATTTTTGATAAAGCTAGAGGCCTTCCTTTCGACTCTGCGGCTGTCAATTCCATATTTGCATGCACCGTCCCGGAATCGCTCCCCTGTTTGTTCTCCCGAAACATTTCACTCCACCCAACTGATTTCCCGGTATGGACATTCCGCTTCTACAATATTTTCCAGTTAACCAACTTCTCAAAAATTGTGGTGATTGTTTGTTTAAGACTGCATTTAACGCAGGTCGTTATCTTCCAAAAGCCTTTTTTGGATGGTCAGAGTTAGGCAGCACGCTTGTTTGAATTTCAATCCGATCGTATTTTATCCAGTGTGACCATCAGTTCATCATATCATGTTGTCTGTACCTGAAACAAATGATATGTCCTGCTGCTTATTTAGTCAAGTATAGCTGCAACTGTTGGAAGGTTCGTAAGACTGTTGTTTACTTGGTTCCTTTGCCACAATTACTGGTGAAAGTGAAGAATCAAACCAGCAATTCATCTTGTATTGAACTGAACAGGACTGAACCAGTGTTTCAAAAGCTTCCTTCAGTGGAAGCTGAGAAGCTACGTATACAACTGGTCACAGTCCTGAAGAAATCCCAACAGCCGGAAGCTCCAAATATTGCACCGTCAGAGCGGAGAGCGTTGAACACTGAGACAGGTAGATAGTATTGTCATTACTAAGGCCGATAAAGGTAAAGCCACAGTAGTAATGAACAACAGCGACCATCTTCAAAAGGTCAGGCAACATCTCGCCGATGGACACCATCGACAAATTACCGGTAACAGTATTACTTCAATACTGAATAAGAGTAAGATAGGAGTTGGGAGATATTTAAGATCCGTGATAAACCATTTAGAACAAGGTAAGTGGTATCGGTTGTATCCAAAAAGCGCGATTCAACCGGGACTCTACGGGCTGCCAAAAATCCACAAGGCAGATGTCCCGATAAGGCCAATGGTGGATGGTATAGGCTCGCCACCACATGAACTGGCCAGATTCTTATCTGGTATACTAGAACCGCTCACGGGGAAATCAAGCACCTTTCCACCTCGGGCACAGTACCCTTCCTGGACCATATAACACATAAGATGTGTGGGAAATTGAAAACGACTAGCTGCCAGAAACCAACAGACACAGAAACCGTCTTAAGCTATTCATCAGCACACCCAAAGTCCGTGTACGCCAGTATTGTCTCATCGGTGTTTCGTCGAGTCAGAGCACTGTGCACAGAAGAGGTCGATCGAATGGTTGCTCAAATCAAGATTGCCAACAAACTCCAAGAAATAGGATACCCAGTGGGTTTGATTAAGCGTCAACTAAGAAAGATATTGGCTCCAGTATCTAGACCCAGTAAGGAATGGATTGACACAGCAGTCATTCCATATAAAGCAGGAACATCGGAGGGTATTCGAAGACTGTTGAACTTAGCCAACATTCGAGTAGATTTTCAGAAGGGAAAAACGCTACGCGCACTTCAATTGAACGATCCCTGCCGGTTGAAAGGACTAGGGACTGTGTATAAAATTAACTGCAACGATTGCGCCAAGGTTTATATTGGACAAACAGACACGGAATTGCACACTCGAACTGGTGAGCATAAAAAAAGGATTAAGAAACCACTAAGGAATGCAGAAGAATACCAAACGCTGGTCAGAGACTCAGCGATGGTGGTACATTCATAGACACGGGACATAGAATAAATCTGGAGAATGTGGAAGTTTTATGACAGGGACTGCGATTCACACCATAGCGGCTCATAGCCGATGCGGTGGAAATTACTAAGCATCACAGCGTGAATAGAATCGAGGGTGTGGAACCCGCAATCGTATGGAAAGCGGTCTTAGATAAGCCGAGTTGACACGTGATGGTGTGGTTGTCAATCCACTTAAGATCATTAGAAAAAACCGGGGGATAGAACAATGCCTTGCAATAGGATCACCAATATCCCCACTTTTGGTTAGTATTTACATGGAGGACTTCGAACAAATGGCGGATATCATTGTCCACCCAAAGTTTTTTGGCGTTATGCTGACGACACGTTTGTTGTAATCAGACGAGATAACGTAAACAGCTTCCACGACTATCTCAATAGTTTAAACCCACACATTAAGTTTAGCATGGAAGTAGAGTCCACTTCGAGCACATTACCCTTCCTGGACCAGATAACACATAAGATTGGTGGGAAATTGAAAACGACTATCTGCCAGAAACCAACAGACACAGAAACCGTCTTAAGCTATTCATCAGCACACCCAAAGTTCGTGTACGCCAGTGTTGTCTCATCGATGTTTCGTCGAGTCAGAGCGCTGTGCACAGAAGAGGTCGATCGAATGGCTGCTCAAATCAAGATTGCCAACAAACTCCAAGAAATAGGATACCCAGTGAGTCTGATTAAGCGTCAACCAAGAAAGATATTTGCTCCAGTATCTAGACCCAGTAAGGAATGGATTGACACAGCATTCATTCCATATAGAGCAGGAACATCGGAGGTTATTCGAAGACTGTTGAACTCAGCCAACATTCGAGCAGCTTTTCAGAAGGGAAAAACGCTACGCTCAGTTATGGTACAATTGAAAGATCCCCTGACGGTTGAAATGACCAGGGACTGTGTGTATAAAATTAACTGCAACGATTGCGCTAAGGTTCCTATAGAACAAACTTCCAGGAAATTGCACACCAGAATTGGTGGGCATAAAAGAAGGATTAACAAATCACCAAGGGATGCAGAAGAATACCAAACGCTGGTCAAGGACTCAGTGATGGCGGTACATGCCTCAGACACGGGACAGAATAGGTCTGGAGAATGTGGAAGTTTTAAGATGGGGACTGCGATTCACATAACAGTGGCTGATAGCCGAGGCGGTGGAAATTACCGAGCATCACAGCGCGAATAGAATCGAGAGTGTGCAGTTGGCGTGCGTATTAGATAAGACGAGTTGACATGTGACGGTGTGGTTGTCAATCCACAAAAACCGGGGGTGGGGGTGGAAACCCAACCGACCAAAGGTCACAGCACCCCTATTGCACAACTTTTTTAGCACTAGCTCACCCACACAGACTGACTGAAGGTTCAAATGAAGCTCAAGAGGAACCATCAAATGAACCGAACCAGAAGAACTAGACCCTAGGCTGGACCCAAACACATGTAGGTTTCCCCACCGACCCAACACTTGTTCAACCACTCTAACACACCAAAATCCCTCGGCCGACTTAGCTGATTGGTCCTCCTTCGCCTTAAAGCTCGACCAACCTCGGAACCTAGTTACTTGGCCTGATGAAGCTTTTGTCTCAAAAGCGAAACATCGCCCAGCAATAAATCTACCAATTGTCACTAAACTTTTTCGAAAACAAGGACTGAGCCCCATCGAAAATTTCATTGTCAATCCTCTTTAGAATAGCCATGGAATGAATGACAAAGTCACGTTGTGACTTTCTCAACATGGTACTTGCAGGCACTTGATTGAAGTTGTTTTTATTGTGGGTAGTTTTCACCTAACCTCAACACAGTAAATGATTATGTAACTTGTTTACTTCAGGTCCATCATTCTCCAAACCAGTTGATGTAAACTCTTTGTTATTATTTCTGCATTCGACCGACAGGAATGCCTGGCAGAACAGGATATTACACCATCTGCTAACGTTAGGTTCCTTTTCATATCGATGGCTCGACACTTTACCTAGCGTGCTCTGTCTTCAGACTTTGTGGTGAGATGTCTAGTCTCAGAACAGTTGTTGTAGGCATTCTGCGTCATCAACTTGTTGAATCCAAACAGGACCAAACTGCCTAGAGATTCAAAACACCATGCTTTTCTCAGATCTGGAGAGACTGATACGTGTAGACAATGTTTGTGTGAGCAACTAGTGCTTGCTCCAATGTCATCAACTTGTTGAATCCAAACAGGAGCAAACTGCCTAGAGATTCAGAACACCATGCTTTTCTCAGATCTGGAGGGACTGATACGTTTAGACACTGTTTGTGTGAGCAACTAGTGCTTGCTCCATGGAAAAGAGTCGAGTTACGAAAGGCATCCAGAAATGTTCATCGGTTTCTTCTCCCAATTATTGTGGCATAGAAGAACAAACGTCTGCAGGATATCTGACAATGGATGATGAAATCCTCATCCCGAATATGGCCACTGTTCTGGTGTTCCAAGCGCAGACAAACAATGTGTTCATGGGCGATCAAAGCCACAGTAAACCCGCTCTCACATACAATTTATGTCGTGGTCTAATTAGATTTCACCTAAAAATTTCACACGAAGCATAACTGAACGAACGGATAAGTCCTCGCAATGCGCGAGTAAATATTCCTACTTAATTTTCACGAAGCACCAAGACTGGAGCCCTCATCCACGCAAATTATATCAAGATCTTGATAATTAAACCTATACGAACAGAAAAACTATTAGGTACAACAATGGTTAGAGGGACAGGTCGACGTCTCGGTTGGAAACCTCTATA